GTGGAGGGTCTGGTGGTGTGGATTCTCCTTGTGAGCCTTCCCGTAACGGCCAGGGGCCCACAGCAACTGGGGGACCCGAGCCATCCCGCCGTTCCCTCCGACCTCACGGGCACCCGGGAGAGCCACTGCCAGGGTCGTCTGTGAGTCAGGGTCCCCTGTCTAGGAGAAGGGTCCCTGCCTCGTTCCAGAATCAGAAGAGGCCGGTTCTAACGGACGTGCATCAGTGGTCACTATTGGCTTTCCGGAGAGAAAAATGCGTTCTCTCTTCTATTCTGTTCCTTGAGGCTCGTTCATTTCCCCGAGTGAGAGGGGAGCCACAGGTAGAATGCTCGGAGAGCCCTGTGCAGCTGGGATTATGTCTTCTGTTTCTTTGAGACTTACTCCAAGTAGTTCCAGAGGTCTTGTTGACTTTTAGAAATTGGAAAAGGCTCAAGGCACTAGTTGCTGCTGCTGTTCTTTTTTTTTGATAGAGTCTCGCTCTGCCACTCTGGCTAGAGCACTGTGGTGTCATCACAGCTCACTGCAACCTCACGCTCCTGGGCTCAAGTGATCCTCCTGCCTCCCGAGTAGCTGCAGTTCCTTTTGTGGATGAGGAGGCTGAGGTCACAGGAAGTCAGTGGTTTTTGAATTAAAATTAGCCTGAGTTTCAGAATCACCCTCCGAGTTAGGAGAGGCTGATATATTTTCTGATAGCCTTTTGAGAAGTTAGACGATTTCGACTTGTCTGCAGTCGTTCTTTATTTTGGTACTTCTTAAGAAGCATATTTTTGAATGCTAATTAAAAAAATCCCCTAGTGCTTTATTCCACGTAAGCAGCATTTGCTGACCTTGGGGTGCAAGTGAGACCTATGAGGCCGCCCGTCCGACTGGCCTTGCGCACGTACACGCTGCGTTTGATCTGTGACCTGACGCCAGGTGACACCAGGTGATGCCAGGTGACACCAGGTACCTCTGAGTTTTCCCAGCTGGGGGATTCTAAGAGAACAGGTGGCTCCGATCTGGACTAATGACCAGGAAGGAAAAATGCTAGAACGCTGTTGCAGACACCCACCTCCCATTAGGACACAGGCAAAGCCACCCCACGCTTTCTTTTAGGGAGACAAGGTGGTAGGTTTGCTGAGCGCCAAGAGTCTCTGAAGCCTGGCCATGCCCAAGAACGGACGGAGCCTGGCTTGGGAGGCCACACGGTTTTTGAGGACATGAGTTACCGCCACTGCTCTCCAAGGGGCTCTGCCGTGGCTTCCTCTCGAGACACCCTCGCCAATTCCGACAGCAGCTGGAGGAACGAGCTATCTACTTGCCCACACCCCTTTCTCCCAGCCGCCCCTGCAGACATCAGGGGTTGCCATGGATTCCCTATGGGCAGCAAATAAACACTTGCCGGTTGACCGACACGGGCATTTTTCCTCCTTCCAGACTTCCCTGCGACCGTCCCAGTTCTCTTTGTCTCTCAGCGCTGCCTGGAGGAAAACACACCCCGGCCGCTGGGGACCTCTTCCCATCACGGGCCGGGCTCGATCGGTAGATGGACGGCCCGGGAGGAAATTACCGGCATGCCTCTCGCGGAGGGCGGACATACATCCTGCGCTCCCCAAAGTGCCCGAGCGCCCATAGCCGCACGACTTGTTGATTTTCCTCCATCAGCCAGTTCTCTCTGCCCCTCCAGGGGGTGTTCCCGGCAACATCATCAGCGTCTGCGGAGAGGCCCAAGGCGAAGATCACTTACGCATGTCAGAGTGGACCCAGAAGTGGCCCTGGGGGAGCCGTACAGCGAGGGTTTCCACGGCGCAGCGGCCGCCGGGCCCCAGCCCTAATTACGCCCCAGGCGTCGGCTCTCCCACCTCCAAGGCAGCTACACAATCGATGGCTGTTACAAAGTGCCCGTTATTCAGAAAACCGTCCGGGGCAGGGCACGCACATCCATCACCGGCACTGCGGGACGAGTGCGTGTGATGAGGGCTTTGAAATGATCGTCGGGAAAATCTTCTCTGAGAAGCACCCGGGAGGGACAACGGATAAATCCGTTTATCTCAAAAGCCAGATTTTAAGATCTGATTTTTACAAAGATCCACTGTGTTCAGTGCAGGAGGCGTCTGAATATGTCTTCTCAAAGTCTCGGGGACGCGGTGCCACCCGGCTACTCTCGTTCGAGAAGGGCAGTAAAGGCTCACGGCTGCCGGTTTTCCCAGCATGTCGCTTTACGGGGCTTGTTTCTCTCCAAGCTCTTAGGAGTCGCTGTCACGAGTCTCTGCTAACGGGGTTGCCGTGTGTCTCGTGGGCGCAGACTTGGGGTGCGTGGGGCGGAGCCAGAGCACACCCCGTCCCCTGGCACAGCCCGTTGGACGTACTCCGAGTCACTTGCTGTCTGGTGCACTTTGGATGAAATTTAAACCAACCAACTTCTGGCTCATTCTTAGGACGTGAAAAGCCTCCCGTTGTATCCGGTGTGAGTTCACTGATGAAATACCCAACTTCATTTGACGTTTAACTTTGCTCCCCCTTTAGCTGGGGCCTGCTTTGGGCTGGGTCTCTCTGGGGGGCTGAGGGCAGGGAGGGCCGGCTTGCCTGTCCTCCCATCCCCACCTCCCCTGGTACCTGTGGGATTGCAGGACGGAGCAGAGGGACGAGCCCAGGCCCTGCCCGGCCGGGTCCCGTGGTCAGACAGGGTCTCCTCCTCAGGCTTGGCAGCTGCCCACCTGCCAGCCCTGCTCTGGACAAGATGCAGCGACCTAAGCCCAGCTGGGTGGAGGAGGGAGCAGAAGCGGCTGGGCACGGGAGAGCCCAGCACACCTGACCGGAACGGGCTTTGGGAGGGATTCCTGCAGAGCTGTGAGCTCTGGGTACCACCTTGAGCGACGGGAAAATATTTCCTCTGGCCTCGAATTTATTTCTTGATTATCCAGTTCAGTGAGAGTGGAATGGCTCCTTCCCTGGGGTGGATCTGGAAATGGGCCTGCGTGTGGCCCTGCCGGGCTGAGGTGTCTCTTGGTGGTGGCCGTGGCTGCCCGGGGCCCTGTGGTCGGTGCGTGAAGGCCGAGCGCCCGGCGGAGGCTCCACCCAACACACGCAGAGATGGCGCCGGCACTCGGGGCCGGGCGGGGTCAGCGGTTCGCACGTATCTTGTTCGCCAGCAGCCTGAGCTCAGGACCGGCCATCTGGTCCCTGGGAGAGCCGAAGGCGGCCAGGACACTCTTCAGAGTGACAGCAGTGGACAAGCACCTTGATGTGGGGGCATCACCCGCTGGCCTTTTGGCCATCCGCTCGCCAGATGAAGGGGGAGCCCGGACAGGACCTGGGCTCCTCTGTGTCCTCCAGACACTGCACCTCTGGGGACAGGGTCATGGGGTCGATGCTCCGAGTCTGAAGCACGGCTGTGTGTCCAGCATGGCCTGAGTGCGGCGCCTCCTGCCCGGGACTCTGGAGACGGGCAGCACAGACTGCCTGGCTCCGCAGCCACAGCCAGGAAGGTGGTGGCCGGGGCCCACTCGGAGGCCGAGCCCACGCGCCTCTCCCACAAGCCTCTTTCCCAGGACGGGTCCCAGGGGAGCCCGAGTCTGCAGTGGGGTGAGGGAGGCTGCAGGAGGGTGGTGTGCTGGGGCTCCCAGCCTTGTTGCGCCCTGCCCTGCCCCCAAGCACAGCTGCAGCCACGTGGAGGGGGCCACGGAACACCCTCCCCGTGTGTGCGTGGTGTGGGTGGCATGCACACACATGTGCAGTGACTCTCAGTGGCTCCTCTTCCTCCCTCCTGCCGGGAGGGAGCACACCCAAGACCTTTCCCACTGCTGGGCGGTCAGAGGCTCCAGCCCCGGCAATTTCCGTCTCCCAAAGGCTCCTGCTCTACAAGCCCACCAGTCTCTGCAGGGCTTTCCTCTCCGAACTTACCTATGTTTAGGTTCCTGCATGGTTAGATGGTTCAGGTTTTTCTTTTCATTCTTAGTGTTAAACAGTGGTCAATCTCTGTTATCTTTCACTAAAATTATTTGCAAAACTTAAAAGGTTATTTAGACGTTTGGGGAAAAGATGAAAACTTAACCTTTGTTCCAATTTTCAGAATCCCACATTTTTCCCCTTTTCTGCCCTCCCTGCCCCCAAAAACTACCTGTCAAAGTGCTGATCAGTTTGGCCTCTGGACGGAAGCCCGTGCCGTCTTTGGTGGCCAGCAAGCAGTGGTACCCTGAGGCCTGGCCAGCCTGGAGCCCCTCCCGACCCTGGCAGGGCCGGGCCAAGGCGGCCCCTCGTGCCACCGGCTGTCAAAGCCTCAGCAAGGCTGGTTTTGCTGTCCCACGTCAGCCCCTTGTCATTGTTGGAGAGTCTATCCACGCATGACCCACGTGGCCTGGTCCACACAGCGTGGGCGGCGACATTTTAGACAGTGCCCGCATGACATAGATGGAGTCTAGGGAGCAGTTTGAGATCACTGGAGGGAGGTCCCATCTGCCCGGAGCCCTGGGTGGGCCCCCAGGAATGTGGGAGCAGCCCTGGGAGCCCACGCAACATGGCACAGCACCCCACCGTGAGCCCACCGGGGCTGTGAGCCGTGGGCAGTGTCCCTCCCATTTGCTGAGAGAGGTCACCTGGCCCTGAGGGTGTCACAGGTGGATAGCAACCATGCTGGGGGCCTCTGCTCTGGGCACCATCCTCAGCGTCTTTCCCCAAGAGGCTGTGTGAGTCTGGGGGACGCCAGTGAGCACCTTTGCACGCAGGCCTGGAGGGCACGGCTGGAGGGTCGGCCTGGATGTCCCAGGTCAGGCAGGGGCTGTGTCAGGGAGGGGCCCAGGCCTCTGATTCCCGGCACACCCACCCGGCTGCTTCCCTCCCTCGGGCTGGGAGCTTTGTCACCAGACCTCCATGCAGAGGATGAGACACTGCCACCCTCCTGCAGAATGCGCGGTGTTCGCCAACCAATCTGCACGTTCAAGGCCGCTTTTTGTCTTTGATTGCTGAGCTCTCCAAACTGCCGAGGCAATGGAATGCTAATGGCGACTGCTTTGGTCCAACAGATACAAGTAAGGAGCTGTGCCGCCGCGCGCCCCGCCCCCCCGCCCTGGTGCTGCACGCGGAGAGGAAGAGCCGGGCCGGAGACAAGGAGGACAAGGTCAGTCTCCGGACCGTGTGTGTCTTGAAGAAGCAAAACCCCAGGTTTGGAGGGTCGGGCCGGGACTCCTGTGTGCGCCACTGGTGCTGGGGAAGCCCTGGGGGGGCGGGGAGGCCTCGCAGAGCACTGAGCAGCCCGGCCCAGAGCATCCAGCATCCCCGCCCAGAGCACCCGGCATCCCCGCCCAGAGCACCCGGCATCCCCTCCCAGAGCACCCTGCATCCCCTCCCAGAGCACCCAGCATCCCTGCCCAGAGCACCCGGCATCCCCGCCCAGAGCACCCAGCATCCCCGCCCAGAGCACCCAGCATCCCCGCCCAGAGCACCTAGCATCCCCGCCCAGAGCACCCAGCATCCCCGCCCAGAGCACCCAGCATCCCCGCCCAGAGCACCCAGCATCCCCGCCCAGAGCACCCAGCATCCCCGCCCAGAGCACCCGGCATCCCCGCCCAGAGCACCCAGCATCCCCTCCCAGAGCACCCGGCATCCCCTCCCAGAGCACCCGGCATCCCCGCCCAGAGCACCCGGCATCCCCTCCCAGAGCACCTGGCATCCCCTCCCAGAGCACCCGGCATCCCCGCCCAGAGCACCCGGCAGCCCCGCCCAGAGCACCCAGCATCCCCTCCCAGAGCACCTGGCATCCCCGCCCAGAGCACCCGGCATCCCTGCCCAGAACACCCAGCAGCCTGGCCCAGGTCTGCCGGATCTGAGGCCGGAGCCCCGGGGGCCACTCCGGCTCCTCACGTGGCTTGTTCGTTCTCAGAGGGGAGAGAGGACACACAGCCGGCCGGGCTGTAGGCAGACAGGTGCCGCTCAGGCTGGGGTAAAGAGAACCCAACGCACGCTTGTTTTTTTCCCCAAAACCTTCTGAATTTAGGCCTTTCCCTTTGCCTGTTAGCCAAATGGCAACTTAAAGACGGATCAGGACGTTGCATTTGATGCATTTCATGTTTTCATCAGCACCGTCCTTCCTCCGAGTAACCCAAGGGCTTTCCTTTCACTGCTACACCTGAAAACCTCAGATCCCACGGAATCTGCTCCCGGCCGTCACATGCCGGCAGAGGCTCTGGTCAGACACGCTCGTCCCCACTGTCCCTGGAATAGGTGTCTCTCGGGCTCAGGGCCCCTGTGGGTCCCCCCCCCCCGCCCCCTGCTTTCTGCGCCGGCCCCTCCAGAGCATTTGCAGGACACAGTCGCCACGTGGCCACCTTCTCCCGCCCCACCCCAGTGCCCGCCACAAACCGTGGACACCGATCCCAAATGTTAGCGCAAAGTAAACTTCTGCCGCCTGGCGTGGGATTTTCCCTTGGGAGGTGAGCGTCCCAGCCGGAATCACACGTTAATTACACAGACAGCCTTTCTAGTGCCTTAAATAAATACTTTCTTTATCACTGGGCCCTGCGCGTCTAATTCACTTTTACTGCTTTAGTGTGGAACAGGAGTTTTATGCCACGATTAGCCATTTTTATCGCCAACCGGAAATCATAACCTGCGTGCCCCTCACGGAGGCGCCCTTGGTAATTGGCGGGAGAGGATCCCGGCACTGCAGGATTTAGGCGTTGTTCCCCCCTGCAAGTCACACCTACTGTATTTGCTGGAATAATTAGCCGGGGTAATCTACTACCCAGGGACTTCTTGTCGAGTTTCTGTTGTTCAATTAACTTCATAATGGAAACCCCTCTAATTTCTCTAATAGGCCAGGTGATACAAACTCTGGTCTTAATACATATATTTTCTAAGGCAAGTGTTCCTGGTACTTCCCTGTTATGCTAATTATTTATCCAGACTTTATTTTCTCCCGGGAAACAAAGACATTTCCTACTACCAGAAAACCTGAACCACTTTTTCCCTTAGACTTACCAACTTAAGGATAACAACGTAAGTTACAGATCGTTTATTGGATGGAATTCTCTGTCCAGACGAATGGGGTTTCGGGGGAAGGATGGCAGGCATGAAGGAGACAGCCTGTCTTCTGGTGGTCGCTGTGTGTGTTTAAAGAAAGTCCCTCCCCAGACCCACCCACACGCCAAGGCGGAGCAGGGACTTTTCTGGCTGAGCGTTTTCTCTCGGGACCTCCCGTGCTTCCTGCCGGGCCGGGGCTCCGGGTTTGGCCACGTGCTCTGGATAGCACAGTCGGCAAGAGGCAGCGTCACTCTTACCGCTGCTTTGCCACGGGGCCGGGATGGGCACACTTACTTCTTTGGGACTTATTTCACCTTGGCTTCTGTAGATACTTGAGGTTCTTTTCACTTCTTTTTGTTTGAATTTTATGCTGCTACGCTTCCGAAACTTAGCGCTTTCCTTACTGCAGTGTTCGGAAGGTGCTGACACAGCGAAAATGAGCCCTGGTCCCAGCGGAGCCCTCGGGGCCTTGGGACAGGTGTGGGGGCTGTGGCATAGCCTCCCCCCCCCCCCGTGTGTGGGTAACTGCACCGGGGTGCACCCAGTATGGCTTTGGAACATCAACTTCCTTTAGTTTTGGTCAATCAGATGGTTAACCATCTTTTCACCTACACCATTCCATAAAGTGCTGGCATTCGCGATAGTAAAAGCAGAGATTCCAAAATTCTAGGATGACAGTCAATTTTTTTTTTTTTTTATTGAATCTAGAGTTTTAATTGCACCTGACATTCTCAGCTCAGGAACAGGTTTTTTGCTTCGAATAATGCACTGTGCTGTCTTTTCATCTCACCTGATTTTCCGAGACGAGAGAATATAATCTTTATCGTAGCATTTTAAGTTTGAGATTAAAACCATGGAACCAGCTGGAAGAAGAAAAAAGAAAGACGTTTCTGACTACTAGCATTTACCATACTTGCTGGGAGTTCATTTCTTTCTTACAGTTCTCCAGAATTTTGATGACACTTTTGTATTTCTTCTAAAATTCCTCACTGTGGTTTTGCAGTTCCACTGGCAGAAACGTGGGCACGTCTGCCCACTATAGAACAGAGATCCAAGGTCGGCCACGCATCGGCAAAGCTCACCTGGGTCTCGGGTCTCTGGTCCTGTCGGAGTTGTGATTGGCTGTACTTTCTACCCTCAAACTGCTTTTACTTCTCCCCAAATTCCACTCTGCAGTGAGCACTGATCAAGTGCCTCAACCACAGATTTTTTTTTTCTTTTTAATTTTAGGTAATAAATCTTGATTTTATTCTAGGCGACGTCACGTCCAAACATTCTTTGTTTTCTGAGATGGAGGCAGAGTGATGCTCTTCACACCTGAGGGAGCATCACGGTCACCTGACAAAGCAAAACCGCCCTTGCAGCCCCTGCCCCCAGCTGGCCACTCCAGAAAGGTGGCAACCAACCGCTGGGAGCACCCAGACACTGTGGGGCAGGGTCCTTATTTAAGAATCTGGACTTGTCCCTTCCTCCTGCCCTGGCAGGCCCAGGTGTGCCAGCCCCGCTTCCAGGCTCCCTGGCACTAACCGTGGTTTTCTCATGGCGCAGTAACTGCTGCTGCTGCGTGGCCGCTGACTCATTTCCTGACAGATCCAGTGGGATTTTCTGCCCCAAAAACTTCCGGCCTCAGATGCCTCCTCCGGGCTGCCTCTGTCTCTGTCCCCAGAAAAGCAGGTGGTGCAGACAGCTTAGGACAACGAGGGGTGCCTTTGTCCAAGTTACTGGACAGCCTGTTGTGCCCTGATTCTGTGTGCCCAGCGTAACCGCCCAGCCCGACGGCTCTGCTGCACCGAGAAGAGAAGGTGGTTATCCGGGGGCCACGGTGGGCAGGTCTGTCTGCAGGAGGCTTCTGTTACCCTCACTTGGTCGCCTGTGATTGACGAGGAGTGTTTAAAATTAAGGACGCTCTCTCCTTCTCTTGCTGCTGGCAGGAGCCCCCGCCGATGCTCGGGAGAGGAGAAGACAGCGCGGCCAGAGGCAGCCGGCCCGTGGCCTCCACCCCCGTGCCCGGATCCCCCTGGTAAGATGCGGCGAAGCCCGAGGGCCTGGAGGAGTGACAGTGTCTTGTCCCGGCCCTCGCCGGAAGCCACCAAAGAGGACATGCACGCTCCTTAGGTCTGTTGTGCTTTAGAAAACGGCTTCGCAACTCGTGGCAGGTATAATTCTACGCTGTTGTCACACGCTGCAGGGAAAAAGATAGCATGCCGGGGATAAGTTACCAGCCCCGGTGCATTCGTGGGGACGGTGCCGCGTGTGCAGCCTGGTGAGAGGCAGCGCCTGAGAAAGCGTTTCCCCTCCAGCCTAAGAGGCGTCGGAACGGAATGTTAATTAGAGACGCGCCCGGCCCCGCCGTCCTGGGGGGGGCCCGCTGGGGGTGCGCCGCGCTCCACACGCCCTCCACGAGGGAGCCACAGTCTCTGGTTTTTAAAAATGCCCTTTTATAATGGAGTCATTTGGAAGCAGAATAGAAAGGTTATTACAGTAAAAATTAGTTTTAAAACCTGAAGATTAGAGTGCAGCGTACAACTGGGAGGAACAGCTCATTTAAAGAACGGAAATAGCAGCCGCTTGCGTCACTTTAATGTGCCTGACATTAAATAAAGGTGGGGGGAGCCGTCCGCTGACGACCCCGGGGGCCGTGCACCTGCGTGGGAAGTGGCGGCCTCGCTGGGCTGGGCTGGGCGGTTGTGCCCCGAGCTGTGACCTGGTGACCTGGCCCCCTGCCCATATGGAGAACTCTGCCCTGACCTGCAGGAGGGGTGGCCGGGCAGGGGTGGCCTCCAGCCTAACCTACCGCCTTCGGTGGGGCGCCTCTGCACCCCGGGGTCCTCGGGGGTGAGGCCTCCCACGACGGGGATTTGTGCTGTTTGCAACATCCTGTTCTCCCGTTCCCGGGGGGCGTCCTGCAAGTCAGTCCAGTCCTGCCTTGCAGGACAGACAGACAGGACAGACCCCAGTTAGGTCAGACTGACCCAGTTAGGTCAGACCCCGAGGGCTGAGGGCTCAGGGCCACCAGGCTGCCCCCACTGTAGACACCAGCTTCAGGCGGGGGGCCCCGGGCCGCCTACACGTTCCGGTCCCCGTGACCCCCCCACGCCACGATCGTTTGCTAGAAGAGCTCACAGAGCTCAGGAGAGCACCTTACCCGTCTGCAGGTTTATTAAGGAGACTGCAACTCAGGAATAGGCAGGCGGGAGATGGACTGGGCAAGGCACGGGTGGGGGGTGGGCACCTCGGGCTGTTGCTCCTGGGCCGCACACCTGCGTGGCGCCTGGCTGTGCTGGCTGCGGCTGGCGTGTGCTACGGCGACGAGCACGTGTGTATCTAGACATGGCAAAGGTGCACACAAACACGGCGTTACGGTCTTACGGGACCCCTGTCTTGTACGCGGTCCACGGTTGACCAAAAGGAAACGTGCGGCACGTGACCAAACGTGTGTTTCATTGTAGCTCAGACCCTGTTGGAGAGCTCCAGTCACCAGCCGCTCGGGTGTGTTCCCAAGGCAGGCACACGCACAGATGACATCTGGGGGGGGGGGGTAAATCCAGAAGACTGTGTGCACCTGCCACTCTGCTCCCAGGACGCCGTCTGTGGGGGACTGTGAGCATGTGGAAGACCTGACTTTGGACACAGAACCTCTCCTGCAGTGAACGCCGCAGCTGTTCTTCTTCCGTGATGCTGAGTCACAGCGCAAAATGCCGAGTGGCACCTGGCTGTCGCTCTGCCGGCCCGCTCCGTGGGCCGTTTGCCTGTAAACCGCAAAGCAGCGCAGGCCTGGCCCTGCTAAGCTGCCCTGTTGGTTACGTGTTTGCGACGTGAGACACGCCGTCCCTGCGCAGCGCGTGCTGGGCGAGGGAGGAGAGTGGGGCGCTTGGCCACACGGGCGGGAGGACCGTGAGCAGGTCCTGATGGGTTTCTGAGGTTGAACTGCCGATGACAGAGCGAATCAGGGTGCGGGCTGGGCGTCAGGGAGGATGGCTGGGAGCAGGGCCGGGGGATGGAGGAGGGGATGGTGAGGGCTCGGGCCTGGGAGCACGGAGGAGGAGCAGCTGAGGCCCCCTGGACCCTGCAGACCTCTGGGTCTTGGCGCCGAGTGATGCCAGTAGTGGTGTGCCGGCTCCTGACCGTGTTATCTCCAGCTGGAAAATCCCTTGCAGAGTGGTTAGCTTGCAGAAATTGGCTTAAAAACGATGGGCGCAGAGGGTGGGTGGTGTTTCTCCTGCTCCCTGCTGCAGAGCTCAGTGCAGGAACGCCGGGGCCAACAGCGGCATCTGTAGTCACTCCTAACTGTGTATGGTCCCCTCTGCCACTGCCATTACCGAGAGATGGCCCGGCGTGCGGCCCCCTGAAAGTGTCCACCTGACGCTGAGCACTTGGGAGACGCGGAATCGATGCCCAACAGTGAACGAAAATGAAGAGAGCCGTCCTCGCACCCTTGTCCGACTGTCTGTGCTGGGGCAGCCGTCGGAAGTGGTCTCAGAGTCTGGGATAACTTCCGAGGCCAGCTCTGCCACTCAGAAGCCCATCCGGTGGTTCCAAGGACACTGTAGTCTGAGGCCCAGCATTTTAAGAAGACAAAAGGCAACGGAGGCGGCGTGTCCACTGTCCTGCGAGTGATGTCCCTCCCCAAACAGGAGGAGACTCGGCTCCTGCAGTAACATTACAATTAACTTTTTCAAATCCGCTCCTGTTTTCAGGCGTGATAACGCTGGACTAGCATCGTTCTCATCTCTTTAGGAATGTCTCTTTCTCCTTTTTGTTCTTCTTGTAATTTGGCTGCTGACCCCAACGGTAGTTTTGAGAGAGTTGAGCCTCCGTCTTGCTGGGAGGTAATTCAGATGTTTTCCTTGGAGTGTTTATGTCGTTGGGGAGATTTCAAAGGTGATCGCTCCTCACAGTGTCCAATCCGTGAGCTCCTGGCTCAAACGACAATACGTATCAAGGCCGATGCCTAGTTAGCATCTTAAAATTAATTAAATGACTATGGATTTACCAATAATTAGCTATTTTTATGAAATAAAAGTACATTGGACATTGGCTTTAGCGTCATATCGTTTTCCAAAAGTTCTGGATTGTGGTAGTGCAATTGTAGTCAGTGTTCTATCGCTGTCACAGCATGGCCCCAAGTTCTTTGTCAGGTGACTTGGGAAGGGACGGAGGTGTCTCAAGACAGGGAAGGACACGCAGCGTCCGTCAGAGCGCCGACACAGTCAGAAGGTGCCGCTTCCTGGCACGGCTGACTCAGGTTTTTATCTTAAGAAGCAGAAGTCGTTACAGTGCAAGGGGCACACGGTGACTACCGAGACGAACAGGCGCATTCCCGTGACACCGGTGACTACCGAGACGAACAGGCCCATTCCCGTGACACTGGTGACTACCGAGATGAACAGGCGCATTCCCGTGACACCGGTGACTACCGAGATGAACAGGCCCATTCCCGTGACACTGGTGACTACCGAGATGAACAGGCGCATTCCCGTGACACCGGTGACTACCGAGATGAACAGGCCCATTCCCGTGACACCGGTGACTACCGAGATGAACAGGCCCATTCCCGTGACACCGGTGACTACCGAGATGAACAGGCGCATTCCCGTGACATTGGTGACTACCGAGATGAACAGGCACTCTCCCACCATGACGCCGGTGACTGTGAGTGGCGAGACGCCGATGGCTGGTTCTGCATCTCTGCCTGGGGGAAGGAGGTGCCGTGGGCAGACGCTGGCACTGCCAGGCTGTGCGTTCATGGCGCCGTTGTGGATCTTAGCGTCCTGGGAATGCCCATCAGCGTCTCCGGGCCCCAGGGACGCTCCTGGGTGCTCCCGATGGTATGCTAGCAACTTGCCTTTACTTCTCACCTTGATATCTTAGTACCTGTGGGTGACGTCTTTTTATTCATTCATAACTATTTATGGGGCCTAACATTTGAAAACGCATCCTCTGGATTTTCTGCATGCTGATATTAAACGTGTTTGACCTTAAAAGAATCAATATTACAACCATGTTCTGGGATGAAGCTGGCAGGACTTTTCTGGAACGAAAGGAGCGTTTGTGCAGGCATAACACACGTGGATGGTGCTTGGCAAGAACGGCAGCTAGAAATTACGGCTATTAGGAGAGACGCCGGCCCGGTCACACCGGCAGACGCCAGCTGCCTGGCCTTGGAGACGGCACATCACTCTTCCTCGAATACGTAGCACTGACGAGAAGCCAAATGTCACTCTGTCCCCTTTGCATAATCAAGTCTTTTATTATGTCAGAGAAGGGACGGGGGAGGAGTTCCTTGCGGGGGCGGGGACGCTGATGATGGTGCCTTAAATGTCAGAGCGGCTTAGCTGGCGGGTGCGGGGGAGGCGTCCGGAAGCCGCCTTTGGGATCCGCACGACGAGGCCACAGGTGAGCTCCCCGGAGCCTCTCGGTCCTGGGCGCAGGTGGGTGATGCTCCGACAGCCTCCTGGCCTCCGGAAGGTGTCGCGTCCGCTGTCTGCGGGGCGGGACGGACCGTCGTCCAGAGCTCCGGGCCGGCCCCTCTGTGGCTGCTGACCGCCAGCCAGTGTTTTGATGCTGCTCATTGTTTAGCAACGAGACGATATGTTTGTGTGAGATAGTTAAAGACTGACGGATAAAGTCTTTCAAGAGTTATGCAAAGACGTGAGAAGTGAGGACGTTAGGAGCACAGACAGGTAAGCCCAGGCTTGGCCGGGCCCTTGTTGGCACCCAGGAGGGGGCTCTCCCGGCCCAACCGGCCACCGCCTCGCTGGCGATCTCTCCCCGGACCTTCCGTGCGTCTCTCGCCCCAGAGGAAGAAGGCAGGAGTGGCCCTCCGCCTTTGGCAACATGAAATAGAAGTTGCTGAGCGGTTGGTTTCAGGAGGCCGAGGCCAGGTGCCCTCAGGCCCCGGATGCCAGCTGTGTGGCGTCCGCCCTGGCTCTGCCAGGACCTTCCGTCCAGCAGGTCACGTTGTTGTCATGTCCCTAGCATGACCGACTTCTGCAGAAACGATGGCACCACCCACGTCCTGAAGCTGCGAGATGTTAAGTAGTCGCACACAGGCCCCAGGCCCGGCGTGGGCCTCGAAGCCGAGTGGCAGCACGTGTCTGTGCGTGTGTTTCCCGTGTCTGTCTAGAGCATGGACAGATGCCTGCGGAGCCGTGTGCTCTCCGCGGTGATCCCTGGCAGTGCAGCCACTGTGGCAGAGACGTTGGACCAGAGAACATGCTTAGGAGGAAGGGGGAGGGAGCATCCTACTGTCCCTACTTGAGTCTCTGTGTCACCAAGCTCACAGTCCTTCACCTGACAGCCACACGGATGCACCTGGGCCACTCGGTCCTGCTCAGGCCAGCCCCTGCCTCCTGGGAGACGAAGCCCCAGAGAAAGGAGGGAGGGAGACCAAGGGCAGGGTGAGGACATGGCAGAGATCGGGGGCACTGCAGTCCATTCTGGGAGCTCTCGGCTCTGGCGGGCAGGACAGGCACACAGAACACTCCTTGGACAGGGCCTGGGCCGCAGGGCACCTTGCGTGTCCAGGGGTGGGTGGGGCTCAGGTTCCCTCTCCCAGTGAGCCAAGAGGGAGCAGGAATGTCGCCCATACCTCGGAGCTCATACTGCAAGGTTTGCCGTCCAAAGGGCAATTGGATCACGAGGCTCCTTTTGCACAAGGAAGCGACACCCCCAGTTTTCACTGGATCAAATCCGGATCTCCGTGTCCCACGGCTGCTGAGTGTGGACCTGCTGCACCAGCCCTAGCTAGCTCGGGTGCTGCAGTGGAGTCCTCCAGGACCTGGGACAGTTGCAGGGAAGAGGGCGTGCGGCACTTGTCCAGAAACTACGACACGGAGTGATTGAAGAAGGGGAGCACATATACACGGTACCTAGGACGGGCATAAGCGGCACGTGAAATTAACTCTGCGTGTTGCAGCCGGCTCCACGCAGTTGGACCAGCCATCGTGAGCGGCCGGGCAGGTTTCTCCTGGGAGCCACATTTGTTTACCCGCCACCGGCTCTCGGTCCAGCCGCGCTGGCTTCCCCAGGGAGTGGGGACGGGGCTCTTTGTGGCTGGATATCACCATGTAGCGAGGAGATTGCACCGAAATGCCCCCTCCTGGGTAATGATCCCCTGCTAAGTCCTAATTAGCTCCACTGCCCCCGGCTTCAGGAGTTCGCTGGTGGCAACTTGAGGGGTTGGCAGCTGTTTCCTGCACTTCGGGGTGTGCAGGAAACAGGTGGGGCGCCACCTCTCCCTGCACTGGGAGGTGCTGGGGCGACGCTGAACCCCAGCACCGGGGAGTTGGAGAGTGAGCGTGCCTCCCGCAGCACTCTGTTTGCAGCAAAGACTGATGGATCCGGGGAGAATTTGTCCAAATAAATATCGAGTCCCCAGATGTGAAGCCTCTTTCTGAGGTTAATAGCAGAGCCTGGAGGCCGGCGGGGAAAATAGCTCTGAACTCACAGAGGAAATGAACTGGATTCACCGGGTGAAGAACCAGCTGGACCTTCCACCAGCAGGAGGGCTTGGCACATGTTTTCCAGTGTCACAGCACGTCCCAGTCCCCAGGGAGCGGTGCCCATGGTGGGGACAGGTGCCCCCGACAGAGAGACGCAGAGCCAGGGCCCCTCGAGTTGCTGTGGTCTGTGGGGAGCGTGGGGTGTCCTGCAGAAACCAGGACACCTGGGGGAGTTCAGGTGGGTCTGACAGCTGCTGTCAGAGGTCAGCCTGGCCCGGGCAGCCCTGCCCTTCCCTCCCGCCACGAGAGGCTGTCACCGTCCCAGCTCCTGGGCCCCCTGTCTGCTGGCCGTGGATGAATTGCACCTGCTGGTGCTGTTTCAGACCAGCAGGGCTTGAGCTGCGTGCTTGGCAGTGAGCGCCGGGCATCACCCCATCCATGGTGGGGCCGCCGCACCGTGGGCCGGTCTTGTTTAGAAAAACCCAGAGTGCAGGTGTTTTCAGATGAGGGGGTTTGGGGGCGGCGTTTCTCCTGATATCAACACCACAGGCCGCCTAGTCTGTTGGGAAGCGTCTTGGCGACACTGGGTCCTTCCTGCATGTGGCATCTGTCTTGAGTGGGGCTCCCAGGAGCAGGGCCTGCTGCTGTGCTGGCCGAGTCCGGCTGTCAGAGCAGGTGCAGCCCCGAGCCCGGGCAGCCAGAGCTCGTGGTGGGGGTGGGCACCTGGCCTGGTGCAGCCAGTCTGCGGGAGAGGGGGGCACCAACAGTGGCCAAGACTTGGGGTCCTGGCTCCAGATCAGAAGATAAAGGGGAAAGAAGAACAGGAGCTAGAACTGGGGTGGGAGGGACCCATCTCCCAGCTCCCACCACCGAGGACGCTGAGGCGCCTGGAGGTGAATCCCTTCCCCGAGCTGGGGCAGAGGCGGCAGCGAAGCGCACCCTGGCAGGCAGCCCCAGCTCAGTGACCCTCCCTGCAGGGACTCCTGGGGAGGGCACAGGTCCCTCAGCTCTGGGGGAGGCCGTGTGAGGTGTGGGGACCTCCCACCGGTTCTACCTGCCCTTCCTGGGCCGAAGTGAGTTCCTTGTTCTCCGTGAGATCAGGGCTCCCGGGAAGACCTGGTGGGTCCACACGACAGCTTTTAAATCTCGAGTGAATGGGAGGGACGCAGAGAGCCAGGGATGCTCCCGGAATCTAGGGGTGCGAGTGGGCTGTGGGGACCCAGGCGGTGCGTGGGTGGCCCCCAAGTGGCCCCCGTGGCTGGGGGCCACCTGGTAGGGAAGCAGAGGTACACGTGACCACACACGTGGGTTGCTCCTGCGTGTTCTGTGGGCATCAGAGAAGTCCCAGGACAGTGACGGAGCTGGCAGGGCCCGCAGATGTCACGGGGGGAAGTGGAGGCTGAGAGAGGGGAGGGGTCCTGCCCGGGGGAACCTTCTGGAAGGTCTAGACCAGAAATGGGGGCCGGTGCCATCTGGGGCTGGTCATCGCAGCATCCTGAGACCAGTTGGGGCCGAAAGCCCAGATCTGAGACCAGCCTGGCCACGTTCCTGGGACACGCTGGGGCCGGAGCCCGAGTTCTTAGGCGTCCCTTGTGGCTGCGGACTCAGGGTACACGCCCCCGGGAAGGGGATTCCCGTCTCTCTCTCTCTTTTTTTCCTGTACCTCATGTTTTTCTTTTTACTCTTTTCTGATAACCTTCCACAGATAAAGGGTTTCAAAATTGCAAATTATTCCTTTCAGGAATTGAACATTTCCATCTATGAAAGCACAAAACTTAATTCTTTGCTCTCCTAGAAGTGAACAGCCCCCCGCCAGGGCCTCACTTGGGGATGGCAGCAGGCGGTTTAACCCTTCTGCTGCTGGAGGGCAGTGAGCCGGGGCCTGGGCTGGGGGCTCCAGCAGGGGCCTGGGGGACCCCTCTCCGCATTGCTCTGCCCATTGCCATTCCCAGCGATGGGAATTTCTTTGAAGCAGAGACAGCTCCAGTGCTGGGAAGGGCTCTGACCTTGCATGACCTTGTTAAGTGAGAACGTTGGTGTCCTTAATGGCTGAAAGGCAGTCACAAGGGTGTCAGTGGGCCTCTCCCCCCTAATCGCTAATCAGATGAGTCAAAAAGTGAGAAAGATCTGCACAGCAGGCTTCCTTTTCATTATTCGTACCCCGCATACCGAAGCTTTGTGAGTGTGTGGACGTCAGGCCGGGAGGGCTTTAGCGTCAGGGCGAAATGTCTCTGCGAGCCACTGAGACCCAGTTTTCCAACGCTAACAGGTGCGTGGTCTGGACGGGAGACGACCGGGTTTTCTTCTTCAACCCGACCATGCAGCTGTCCGTCTGGGAGAAGCCCACGGACCTGAGGAACCGCGGGGACCTCAACAGGATCATCGAAGACCCGCCCCACAAGCGCAAGCTGGAGGCCGCAGCAGGTAACTGGGAACTGGGCTGCTCGCACCCACCTTGCAGAGTCTGAGCTGCGTGTTCCCGGCGAACGTGAAACGAACGCGTGTTTCTCTTGGTTATGCTGAAAATTGATCCTTAAGGAATCACATGCACGACTGCAGGATGTAGTAAGTTTCTTTTTTTTTCTTTTCTTTTGAGACAGAGTTTGCTTTGTTGCCCAGGCTAGAGTGAGTGTCGTGGCGTCAGCCTGGCTCACAGCAACCTCAAACTCCTGGGTTCAAGCGATCCTCCTACCTCAGCCTCCCGAGTTGCTGGGACTACAGGCATGCGCCACCATGCCCGGCTAATTTTTTCTCTATATATTAGTTGGCCAATTAATTTCTTTCTATTTATAGTAGAGACGGGGTCTCGCTCTTGCTCAGGCTGGTTTTGAACTCCTGACCTTGAGCAATCCGCCCGCCTTGGCCTCCCAGAGTGCTAGGATTACAGGCGTGAGCCACCACGCCCGGCCAGTGAGTAAATTTTGAAGGCACTTTCTGCAGAAGCCTTGATTCGCCACCCCCCCGCCCCAGCGGTGGGGCCTGTCTGTCCCTCTGCCCCCTGTCAGGTGATTGATGCAGAGGGGGCCATTCACTGCACCACCCCCTGTTAGGTCCTGTCCAACATCACCGTTATCCAGCTTCTTACTCCTGCTCCAAACGTCTTACCCGACTCCGCTCGGGAGACTGGCGGTGCACGGTGGGAGTGTATTTCCTTCTGCCTTGCACCCTCACTTCAGACCTTCAGGCTGAATCGATGCGTCGTTGTGTTTGGATGGATGCCTCGATTCAATAAAACCCTGTGCTCTGTGCTCGGGGAGAGGAAAGGAGCCTTCTCGGCGGCAGAGGAATGGGGCTCTTGGCAGAGGCAGTTGTTTCTGATGACGCTCTCGTAAATCTCGCTTCACCAGGAGCCAAAGAAGAACTTTTAGCGTTTTAAGAGTGGATCCTTTCCGATTAGATCTGATGCATCTTTTTACTAGCTGCCGAGCTGGGGAAGCCCCAGTCCCCGAGTGCGGGGGGTTCAGATAGCACGGGCTCCACTGGGGGTGTCCGGGAGCGGGAGCCCCCACTCACCTGGGATGCAGGACGCACTTCTGCGGGGCCGGGCAGGTGGACGCAGGATCTCGAGTCCTTGGAAAAGGTCTTTGTTTCATTTTTGTGGGGTGTTTCATTGGGTCTGCAATGATATTTTCGATTCCACATCATGTAGGGCTAATGCTAGATCATACCGGCCTACACTTCTTGTCAAATCCAGAGTCATTTGGCTGGAACGTTAGAAGACAGCATTATAAAAGTTCTCTTAACGTCCTTGACAGCACTGGGAGACGTGGACATGGCTGCGCTTGCAAAGCCGGCACGAGCCCTTTAAGATCGAGACAAGCTCAGCACGTTTATTTCCCTTAAGATAATGACAACATTCTCCAGAGAGCTTGAGTCAGCTGAGGTTGGGGACAGAAAGAAATGTCCTAGGTGCACGTTTAAGGGACTCTGTGGAAACGTTGCTGTGCTCGGGGACAGTAAGGGTTGGATCTGGTGACTTTGTTTCCCCCTTTGAGCAAGCGGCATTCGTTATTGAAAGGGATGTTTTGCATTCCGAAAGGACGCTAAGGAAATCATTGTGGAAAACAGCCTCCCGAGGCTCTTACTCATGGACAAGAGCATCCTGCACCATGTAGGAAAGTCGTGGATCTCCCAGGAGGAGCGTTAAGGCACAGTCCGCCCTGACGAAGGTTTATCTGCCTGGTGGAAGGCGAATAGTGCAGGCGGACTCCTTGCCACCCTCCTTCGCTCCTGTTCTCGCAGATAATTGGGTGCGGTTTCATCCCCACCCCCCGGAAAAAAAGTGGTAGGCGTGAGAAACAAATGAACTTATTAAAAGTCAGTGCCTAGTTGCTCTCGCCTTTTTGTTGTTTAGGCCAAATCGGGCCAGGTCTGGAGAGACAGGGGGCTGGGGGGTGTACGCAGAGCACCCCACTGGGCGCCCGGCTGTCCCCAGGCTGGTGAGGACAGTGGGTGGGGGGCGGGGACCCTAATTACCTGGGGCAGGGATGATGCTCGTGTCACTCTACTGACAGGAGTCTCAGCTCACAGCTAAAAAGCTAAAGAGTTGGGTCCTCCCTCCCACAGACAGAGCCGGAAATGTCTGATCCGCTCAGGGCTTCCACGCCCTGGCCTTTTCTCTCACGTCACTTTAGTACTGTGGCTTGAGCCACCCAGGTAGACTGTGATTGCAAAATTACATGCAGTTACAAAACGGCCTTTACTGGCACCTCCCGCCTCTTATAAAGAGAGGAAGAGATTGTCTTAAACCAGCTTTTTTTTAAGCTTAAGAGTCTGCAGAAGACCTCAGTTCTCAGCTTCGAGTCGCTGGGGGAGAGTGGACTTTGAAGAACATAACTTCTCCTTTCCTGAGATCCACCCGAGAGCTTTGCAGCAAAACATCAGGACTGGAGGAGATTCTGGGGGATGAACTAATGACAAGGGGCGGGCTTGGTGACCTCGGCCATCGCTGGCAAAATGGCACCTTCCCTGGCTGCCCCTCACGGCCACTCGCCCAGCGGTTTAACCCTAACAAGTCCGACAAGCTCTAGGGGAGGCTGCTCTGGGAGGAGAACTTGGGTTTTTCACATTTTGTTCCAGCGACAGTTGTCACTGTCCATCTGAATACACTGATACCAACTTCCAGTCCGAAATGGAGCGACTGAGCACTTTCCTTGACACCCGTTATGTTTCAAGGGGCAAGTGAAATAGAAGCATTTAGTGACACGGCTGCCACACGCAATGGCTGTTAGGTCACGCGTGTGCGTGGGAGTCGTGAGGGCTGCAGGCGTGGAGAGGGCACTGACTTCCTCGCTCAGGCTCCCTCCTCCGTCCTCACACCCGCCCGGCTCTGGCCTCTGCCTCCCTCTGCCACGGTCTGTGGTTCCGTGGGTGACACGGGACCGTCTCCCTCCCCAAGAGGAGTGAGTGGCAGACTGAGCGCCCAGAGCGTGCGGCTGATGGATTCGCGGGGTGGAGTCAGGACGTGGACACCACGGGGGGGGGGGGGGCGCGCTGTTCTGTGCCCCAGGCCCGCTTTACGGAAGAGAGAACTAACAAAAGGGATTTAATCACACACCTGTATCTAGTGGGGGCTGGGATTTGCACCCCAGGGTCTGGCTCCCGCCGAGGGGGGCAGGCTGGCACACGCGGGAGACTGCGGACCAGGCAGCTCTGTGCGCGACGCTCACTGGCCCCCAGCCCGTGGGGTGGCGTGGGCTTCGCTGGCTTCAGTGCCTCTGAAAACTTTAGCCATTTATAGTCAAGGCAAATGTAAATGGATAACAACGTGCACTTTACCAAGTAGGGTAAAAATCATCCTCCTGAGCTGACACAGCTGTGAGCAGTGAACGGGTCGCTTTCCTAAGTGAGAACGCCGAGACAGTAAACACGGGGAGCCCAGGTCTCAGAGGGGCCAGGTGGCCAGGGGCACCCAGCAAGCCTGGGACCACTCAGTGCAAATGCTGGACCTCCCCAGAGTGGGGGGCTCTCCAGGGTGGGGGAGGGCTGTCCAGAGTGGGGAGGGTCTCTAGGGTGGGGGAGAGCTGTCCAGGGTGGGGAGGGTCTCTAGGGTGGGGGAGGGCTGTCCAGGGTGGGGAGGGTCTCTAGGGTGGGGGAGGGCTGTCCAGAGTGGGGAGGGTCTCTAGGGTGGGGGAGGCGGTCCAAGAGTGGGGAGGGCTCTCTAGTGGAGGGTCTCCAGTTAGAGCTCTAGGTGGGGGGTCTCCAGGGGTGGGGGTCTCTAGGGTAGGGGAGGCTCTCAAGGTAGGGAGGTCTCTAGGGTGGGAGGTTCAAGGGTGGAGGGTCTCTAGGGTAGGGGAGGCTCTCCAGAGTGGTGAGGTCGTCTAGTTCAGGGTGGAGGGCTCTCCAAGGTGGGGATTGGTTCAGGTAGGGAGTGTCCAGTGGGAGGGTCTCTAGGTAGAGCTGTCCAAATGGGAGGTTCTAGGTAGATGTCCATGGAGTCTCTAGGTTCCAGTATCTTATGGATTCCGGTAGTCTTAGGTAGGAGGCTGTCCGAGTGACGGTCTCTAGGGTGGGAGGCTGTCCAGGGGTGGAGGGTCTCTAGAGGTGGGAGGGCTGTCCAGGTGGGAGGTCTCTAGAGTGGGAGGGCTTTCCAGAGTGTGGGGAGGGTTCTTATGAGTGGGGGGGCTGTCCAGGTGGAGGTCTTGGATTTGGAGAGCTGTCCAGAGTGGGGAGGGTCTCTAGTGGGAGCTGTCCGGTGGGAGGGTTCTAGGGTGGGGAGGGCTCTCCAGGGTGGGGGAGGGTCTTAGGAAGGGAGGGCTGATCCAGGAGTGGGGAGGGTCTCTAGAGTGGGAGGCTGGGTCCATGAGGGAGTCTCTAGGGGTGGGGAGGACTGTCCAGAGTGGGGGGGCTCTTCCAGGGTGGGAGGGCTGTCAGGTGGGAGGGTCTCGTAGGGGCTTGTCCGGGTGGGGAGGGTCTTAGGGGTGGGGAGGCTTCCAGGGTAGTTCTAGTAGGAGGAGCTTTGCGAGGTGTGAGGCTCCATCAGCCATCTCCTAACCTGCATCACCTGAGCTGGCCTGCTGCTCTGAGAGACTCCTGCCTGGCACTGCAGAGTGCAACCTCTGTTGCCTCCAGGCCCCCCACCACCACCCCAGCCGCCCCACCATGGAAGAGCTGACCAGCCCTTTTCCAGACGCTCCGGGCTTGCCCGTGCGGGGCCAGACCGGGCGCCCGTCGTGCCAGGAACCCGCTGTCTCGAGAGCACGTGTGTGTCTGTCCTGGAGCAGGGTGAAGCGGCGGCGCGGTACCTGCCTCTGGAGCAAGGCTGGGGTCCACTGACTCCACGGTGCGAAGCACTGTACGTCGGTGTGGGCCGAGGCGGCGTCTGCCTACCGCCCGGCCCCTAGGCTGAGGTGCACGCTGCACCCAAGGTCTCACCGGGCGTGAATGCGCCGGCTCACCGAGACTCAGCCCCTGGGTCCTTCCAC